GGTCCTTTTTTTTTTTCCTTTCTGCGAATGCTATCATTCAACTCTATTAATAATGAAGTTCAAAACAGACCCAGAAAAAACCAACATGTAGGTAAAAAATCCTTACACAACATGAATTGATTTCATACGTAATTTCCAAATTTCGCCTTCAAAGAACTGAAGCAGATGCCCGATGAATACGAATTGAAATTATAGAAAACTCACCTACCAGATGAGCGCTGGATACTGGGCGCCTACCACATGGGACTGGTTCTGTGGTTCAGGGGACGAATGAGTCTGCGACGGTGCGCGGTGCGTGGAAGGTGGATGCAGTGGCCGGCGTCAGCGGCGTGGATGCAGGGGCTAAGGGGCGTGCATACAACATATTCTCAGTTGATGCATATTGCAGGGGCCGATGTAATGTAATGGATGTAGGGCTTGTATCATACATTTTCGACCAAATAGTTGGCCCACTTGTTTTTTTTTTTTTTGTTATTGGGTTGCTGAAAAATTTGGGGTGGCCCAAAGCCCAGCCTGCACTGGGCCTTAAGTGGGCCCGCCCCTGCTACCTAGTATCACACTTGAATAATAATTTCATCAATCTCACATTTCGATCAATTTTAGTTCTATATTGTTTCCATATCCATATTTTATGTTTAATTAAATCCAAATTACAAATCTTAATACAAAATCCACCCAAAAGTGCAAACTATGGAAGAGAGAAGCCATTACTGATGTGAGATTTTTGTTTCTTCCCCAAAAAATTCAACAAGCAGCCCCATACCCAACCCAATGAGAACCTGCTCATGGAAAGGTCATGGGTTTGAATCCCCTCCCTTATTCCATTTAATTTTGGCAAAAATTGTAGAATTAAAAATATTTCACAATAAAATTGTTGGGAAAGTGATTCGAAAGTGGGACCTCTCATGTGAATATACAAGTTCTAGCCAGTTGAGTTACAAAAAATGCATGAAAATTAAAGAACTTACTAGGTATATAATCTGAAACGTTTATTCATTGTAAAAAAAAAAAANTTTTTTTTTTTTTTGTTATTGGGTTGCTGAAAAATTTGGGGCGGCCCAAAGCCCAGCCTACACTGGGCCTTAAGTGGGCCCGCCCCTGCTACCTAGTATCACACTTGAATAATAATTTCATCGATCTCACATTTCGATCAATTTTAGTTCTATATTGTTTCCATATCCATATTTTATGTTTAATTAAATCCAAATTACAAATCTTAATACAAAATCCACCCAAAAGTGCAAACTATGAAGAGAGAAGCCATTACTGATGTGAGATTTTTGTTTCTTCCCCAAAAAATTCAACAAGCAGCCCCATATCCAACCCAATGAGAACCTGCTCATGGAGAGGTCATGGGTTTGAATCCCCTCCCTTATTCCATTTAATTTTGGTAAAAACTGTAGAATTAAAAATATTTCAAAATAAAATTGTTGGGAATGTGATTCGAAAGTGGGACCTCTCATGTGAATATACAAGTTCTAGCCAGTTAAGTTACACAAAATGCATGACAATTAAAGAACTTACTAGGTATATAATCTGAAACGTTTATTAATTGTAAAAAAAAAAAAAATTTGTTCCGGCTGATCTAGCACGCGCGGCCGCTAGGGCTCGCCGGGTGCTGGGTCCGCCACTGAAAACGACGACATCTACTCTAACCAACTCATTTTTTCCCACAATTAGAATGACCTTAATATCCTGGCTCAATCATCGCCACAGGAGATACTTGGTTCTTATTCTTGCTTCCCTTTTCTCCTTCCTTTGTTATGCGCCACGTGTCTCTTCGTTTGCTTAGCAGAAATTTTTTTCCGCATATGTCGTCAGCGACAGAAAAGACAGAGGAGTGCGTGGTTGACAAGGGTGAGGATGAAGTTGGATTGCTGTTGCAGAGAGCTTTCGAGTGTGGGAATGACTATGAAAATCTTGGGGTCTATATGGAGTATTTTGATAATACGAGGCCTCTATTGCAATTAGTTGAAATTTGACATATACTCTCCAGTATCGCTCTCTTTATTTTTCATTTTCTTTATTACTGGTTTGCAGTGTTCTAAAAAGTGTAAAGCGTGGCTAGGC